TATTGCTTAAAGATATAAAAATAAATCAGACCCTGAGACTTCTCAGAGGGAACCTGAACATTGCTTGTAAAGGTTCTTTTCTCATCGCCGGCCCAGGACATCTCCCCTTCCTACCCTACATCGACTGCAGCTGGTCTGCGGCATGTGTGGACTGTGTGGATAGAGGGTGTGGTAATGTGGAATGTGTGTATTGTGAGTGTATAATGTGTGTCAAATGTATGTGCAGAATGTGTGGTGAATGTGTGTGTTGTGGTGTATGGAATGTTGTGTGTGGTATGGTGTGATATGTGTAGCGTGTGTGGACTATATTTGCAGTGTGTTGTGTGTGTTGTGTATTGTGTTGTATGCATGTTGTGTGTACTGTATTGTGTGTGGAATGTGTGTGGTGTGATATATGTGGACTGTGTGCAGTGTGTTGTGTATCGTGTTGTGCATGTTGTGTGTGGAGCATGGTGTGTGTGGACTGTGTGTGCTGCGGGTTGTGCATGTTGTGCATGTTGTGTTGGGTGTGTGTGGACTGTGTGCAGTGTGTTGTGTGCGTGTGGGCCCCGCTGTCTCCCGCCTCTGGCCCCTCTGCTTCTCCCTGCCCCTGAGCCCTGGATGCGGTGGGCAGCGCCCCCTGGTGCTCGGTGTGGGCAGCGCTGTTCCAGGACACAGCCTGCTCCGGCTCCAGCCGGGACAGCGCCTGCCCCCTCCCAGGGAAACTGAGGCTTGGAAAGGCACGGCCAGCGCCCCTGCCACCCTGCTGTCCTGACTCCAGGCCTCACCACCTCGAGGCAAGGCCAGCCGGCCCTCGTTTTGACTGATCACCCGTCTAGGACCCAGTCCCCAAAGGCGGCCACACTCAGGTCCCGGCGGTCAGGACTCCGGCCCAGGGCAGGCGGGCTCTGGTCCCAGCCTCCGGCTTCTGCTTCTCCACGGCCGGGGAGCCGGGATGGCTGGGGACTCGGGGGCCCAGGCAGTCTCCATAGGAGCAGAAGCCAGGGGGGGAGTGAAGTTGGAGGCATTTGGGGGGGCCGACTCAGTCCCGCAAGCCTGTGTGCCAGCTTGGGGGGCTGAGGAGGAGGCTGGCTGGGCAGCACATGAGACCCCATTTCTCAGAAAAGCAAGTCTGGGGAGGTTGTGCCGTTCGGGTGTGCGGTTACTGTGTTGATCTCTAGGCGAGACGTGAACTGTGCTGCGGACACCCGTGTGGACCCTGGGGCTCCCAGCAAGTGTGGGCACTGCTGAGGGGCCAGGAACCCCTCACCCCAAGGCCCTGCCTGCATCTCCCAAGCTGCACCACCTGGGAGGCGCCATGGCGCCCGAGAGCAGCTTAGGCGCGTCCGACCTCGTGCGTCTCCTCGTGGCCTTTCACACATCCAGCAAAGCCCAGCCTGGGGCAGACGTGCGTCTCAGCTGGGTTCCTCCTGTGGCCACGGCAGAGACCACGCCCCCATCCCCGAGCCCTGGGGACACTGCAGGCCCACACGTGGCCCTGCTCAGCTCCCTTGCCGAGGCCTCCAGGTGAGGCGCAGCAGGAGGCACCCAGTGGGGCATCTGCTTGGGCGGATGGTGCAGCACGGAGGCCCAGGCCGGCCTGGGAAGGACCTGTCCTGTGGGGCTCATGGACCCCCACATGTGGTGTCGTCGAGGTCACCTGTGTGCACCCCGCACCTCTCACACCTGTGTATTGATGAGCTGCTTCCTGATGCTGCGAGGGCCTGAGAACCCCAGAGGACACGGGTCCCATGAGGTCACACGCGGGTCATGCATGGTCACAGCATCACGCCTGCTACAGAGGGCCACCGAGGCCGGAAAGGCAGAGACTGCAGCCAGCGGGAGGGCGGAGGCACGGCGCCCTGTCTGGGCCACCATGGCCACAGGCAGGGCCCATGTCCCCAACATGCGCTTCCTGCCGGGGAGAGCCCGGCTTGGAGAGGCCAGCAGCGCGACCTCGGGGCTGCTTTGACCTTGGGCCTCTGGACTTCCTGGCCCAGGCCGTCCTCTCTTTGGGGAGCAGCTCTCTCCGAACTCCTGCCGTGGGAGCCCCGCTGGCCAAGGCTGGGCAGGCGAGTGTGTCCCTGGAAGACAGAACAGACAAGCCCAGATCCTGGCAAAGTCACCAGCACCACGGTTGGCTCGGGCACCTCTGAGCCGCTCTTCGGAGCAGCCGGGCTGACCCTCCAGTGCGCCGTGGGCGGTCACCTGCCACCCGCCTCGGGCTCTGTGCGGCTGAGCTTCAGCGAAGGCTGAACCGTCAACCTCGCCCTGAAGGCCGGCGCTGTCACCTGGGCTCAGGGTTGCGGGAGCCCGGCCTCTGGAGCCAGGGCAGGAGCAAGTCCCTCCCACCTCGCCGGGGTGGTGCGTGCGGCTTTGCTTTCTGCTGCCTTTCGTCAGGCTTGTGTTTCATGAGAAGAAACGGCGGTCGGGAAATCCCTGGCTTTCTCGTGGGGACACAGCTCCCCGTGTGGTTGGGACGCGGAATTGGGAACCGCGTGGTGTCTGGGCCCTCTTCTTCCAGCCCGCTGGGTTTGCCTCTTCCCAGGAGTCAGAAGCAGCGCTGCCGAGTACGGAGTTGCAGCTCCACGTCAGTGGTTTCCTTCTTTTTTTTTTTTCTTTTGGTACCGGGGATCGAACTCGGGTCCTTGCGCTTGCGCAGCAGGCGGTGAAACCACTGAGCTAAATTCCCGGCCCCTGGATCCTTCTTTTACGGAGAGAGGAGTGTGTGCGCATGCGTGCTGCCAGCACCCATCCCTTAAAACAGCGGAAGCAGGTTTAGCTCATTTCCCTCTAAGATCACTGCAGCTCTGACTCAGACGGCGCATACTTCATGGAAATCTTCCTCCATAAAAGCAAAGTGCAGTCCACGAGGAGGGGCTGGCGTGAGACTCCCAGGCGCCTGCGGACCTGGGAGCCAAGCTTCGCCCGCTGCCGCTGCGAGTAAACGCGCCGCGCAGCCCCGCCCAGTGAACCGTCAGGCCGCTCTGGAGACAGGGCTCATCCTGCGTGCCTGGCCGCTTCTTCCTCACTTGGGCCTGTCTGTGAGCGCAGCCCCGGTCCAAGCCTGCCCCTGCGGGTTTTGGGGCTCCCTCCCCACCCGCGGTTCCTCACCCGAAGCCCCGTGTCTCCCTGCTGGGCCTCACCTCTGAGGTTCTTCCATCTCCGAACTGAACGCTGTCCCCACTGCTGCCTCCCTCCTGAACCTCGCCAGCCTGCTGGTCAGCGCGGGGCACCCTTGCGCCCCAGCCTGAGTCCTTTCTCCACTGCTGCCCTGTGGCTTCCTCCCGTGTCCTGGGGTTGTGCTGATCCCAGCGGGCATCTCTCGGGCCTTACCTTGTGCGACTTCCACGCTGCCCTCCACAGTGACCATCCATCTGTCCACCCATCCGTCCATCCGTCCACCTGTCTGTCCACTCACTTGCCCACCACCTGGTGGTTCCACGTGTCTTGTTGGGGTCACGCTTCCTGCCTCCTGTCCTGTGCCCCCCTGTGACTCCCAGGTCTCTCCACAGCACCTCCTTCAGCTCTGCTTCCTGCTCACAGGGGTTAACCCCCCAGACAGACCCACAGCTGGCCTGATTCCAAGTCCAGAGTGCCTGCCCTGGCCTCTCGGGAGGAGTGGCAGGGGCCCAAGGTCCATTTTGGGGCTGCAGCCTGGGCAAGGCTGGGGGAAGCTGTCTGCGGCCAGCGCCCCCCACCAGCTCTGGCCGCTGTTTGCCCCTAAGCCTGAGCACCGCTGGGCTCCAGCACCCTCTTTACAGAGTTCGCAGGTGCTCATGGGCCCAGCACACAGAGACTGCTGGGACTTTGCAGACCTGGGCTTTGCATGGCCTGCAGGCTTGGCCCAAGAACACAGCTGCTGCCCAGGTGGGCGCTGGGAGCAAATTAGCTGGCTAGTCATTGCAGAAACCATGAATGTGGCCTCAAGTTCGAGGCCCTGAGGGCCACTTGAGCAGCAGACTGCAGACAGCACCCGGGAAAGAGCACACACAGGCTCCACCCCAGAGCACCTGCTTCTTGCGGGGTGGCCATGAGATGCGGCAGTGATCACTGGGTCTGATCACCTCCCGTGGGCGAGCAGCCTCCTCAGGAGGTGCTGGGCAACAGCCAGGAAAAGAAACCTGATTTCCTTGGGCTGGGTCCCCACGCTTCAGGAATAAAGCCACTCTGTCAGAGCAGGCTGGACCTGGTGCCCAAGGGGACCACAGGAGGCTTAGCAAGTTCTTTCCATGAAATTTTCTGTGAAATGAAAATGTTTCATTTCTTAAAAGCATGATCTAAATGGAAGTTATTATGGCCACTGAGAAATAAAATGTTTAATTGCTAAGTGAAACACATTAAAATTCCTTTAATCTCAAGAAAAATAAAATCAAGCAAAACTCTGTGTGTGTGTGTGTGTGTATATATATATTTGCATGTATATTCATCTGTTGAAGTAGTTTTATTTCCTTTGTTGGTGGTTTAATTTGAAAATTCTAGCTAGTTTTCTCTATTCTCTGTCTTCTGTCACTGGCAGAAGTTACCATTTCTACTCTGTGTAAGTACCGATTTCTTTTCGCCTGTTTTGAGCACTGCCAGTGAAACGCTTGCACGGTTAAACAGGAGGAGATACCAAAGCCTGGCAATGAAGCCACAGTCCTCTGACCCTCCTAGTGGTGCTCGGTCCAAGCAGGGGAGACAGTGCACCAGGAGCAGCCCCTAAGGAACAATAAGGGATCTGAGGGAGAGTGTCCCACTCATTCTACATAAGTCAGAACACTACGTGTCTTTTATTCCTTTAACAACTACAGCAAATCTCCTGATTTTACATTTTGTTATTGTTGTTTGTTTGTTTGTTTTCTGGTACCGAGAATCAAACTCAGGTCCTTGTGCTTGCAGGACAGGCGGCAAAACCACTGAGCTAAATCCCCGGCCCTTAAATTTTTTATTTTTAAATTGAAGAAAAAATCCCTACAGAAAAGTTAATGAATTAATTGATACAGATAAAATATATGATATATTATTGAAAATTACAGTTCATATTTAAATTAGGAAAAAAGTGTTACAGTAAAAGACACTTTACCACAAATCCCCCTCAAAATCCATCCCCTCGTTACAGATACACTTAGCCCATTGTTCCTGCCACTTTCTGCAGCAGCTCTGGAGTCCTCTTTCCTGAGTGACTTGAGTTGTGCTGTCCTGGCTGCCTCCATTTTCCCTTTTAGGGTTATTTTTACTTTGGGCTTTGGGGAAGAGCCAGAAGTCACGATGCCAGAGCCAGTGGATAAGGTGGATGAAGACACAGTGTCATATTTTTATTGGACAGAAATTGCTATAAACATTTTGACCCAAATCAGGACATTGGGGCAGCTATGAAGAGACACTTGCAACAGAGGACTTGCAGAACTGCTTCAGAAAGTGGCGGGAACAATGGGATTAAGGGTGTTGGAAGTGAGGGGAATCCATGGCAGTGTGTGTTTTGTTGTAACCCATTTTTAAGCTAAATGTTCGCTGTATATTTTGATGACCCTGTACCATCACCAAGTGAGCTCACCTGTCACCAACCGTCCAGTCAGGAAGGAGAATGGGGCAGAACTGCCCCTCGGAAGCCCCTCAGCCCCCTGCCCTCCTTGTCCACGGCCACCGTCGTCGCCATGGTCACCACAGGTGAGTTATGTCTTTCTGAAACATGGAAAGACAGAGCCACTCCATATATGATCATGATGCTTTATCTCTGTGGCCTAACATTTTGTGCAGTCACTCGTGCTGCTGCACGTAGCTGGAGCTGGTTGTCATCTCTGATAGTTTCCAACTACCCCGTCCATCCACTCTACGGCTAACAGACACGCGGGCATTTCCAGTGTCGGCCACCACAGTAACGCTGCTCAAACATTTTGCTGTGGCCTCTGGGGGTATGCTGGGTTCTGTGGAGCATACACCTGTGCGCACACCGCCCCATCACAAAGTCAGCCTTGGCGGGTGGCGCCATTGCGCACTCCCCACTAGCCAGCAGGGTGCGCTGTTCTGCATCTTTGCTGCTGGCCCCCCTTGTTTAACCGCTCACCAGTGTGTAGGGGCAGCACACGGGGTTTAATTTGCATTTTTCTGACGACTAAACTGGTCAAAGTCCTTTTCATTTGCTTGCTGGACACTAGATATCCGTTTGTGAAATTCTGAGTCCTCTTGCCCGCTTTTCTTTTCCGTTGCCTTTCCTTCTTGGTTTGTAGACATGTGTCCCTAATCCGCTAGGAATCCTTTTCAGTGCGTGTAGAGAGAACGTCCCCCGCTCTCTCGGTGACGCTCCTCCTCTGCGGGCGGAAGGCCGTACTTGCACTGTGCTCCTCTCTCTCGCTTCTGCCCTTGGCCCTTGGCCCTGCTGACGGCCTTGCAGCTCTCCAGTGCCTTTAAACAGATTCCGAAAATAATTTCTCCAGCTTTTCTGGACGTTCCGGTGGAAGAGCTGGGCAGAGCTCCTTCAGGCCATCGCCATCAATTCCTGAAGTTCTTTCTTCTGGCTTTTCCAGTCTTCTAAGTATGTACTTGAATGTTATTTCTGGACTTCATGTTATAAGCGTTTTATAATAATTTTTATAGTGGTAGATGGACATCTAGCTTTCACCTGTGTTCCCAACAGTGTTATTCCATCGTTTCAAGCTTAAGTCACTTGCATTTTACATTATATCAAAGATTATTCACTGTAGATGCAGGAGGTTGAGAAGGAATTTTCAAAGTCGGCTGTATTTGGGGTGATGAGTGAGATTCCCTTTGAAGCTTTCAGCAGCCCTAACCGCATTCTAAAGTTTCTAAATAGTCTCTGTTTCAAATACAGTAAGCTGGAGGCCGTCTTAGATTAGCTCCCACTGTTTTAGCATGACCCCAAAGAGATGGCCTTGCGGATGGTCAGCTTCGGCCCTGGGATGTCTCCCAAGGCCCGGGTTAAAAGGTTGTCCCCGCCGTGGCGCCACAGGGAGGCGGGACCTCGTGGGTGCTGCCGGCCTGGCCTGTGCTCTCGGAGGGCTCCACGAGACCCAAGCCCCTTCCTTTTCCGGTCTTTTCTCCGCTTTCCGGCCTTGCAGTGGGCATCTCGCTCTAGCACACCTGCCTGCCATGGTGTGCTACCTGTCGCAGACCCAAAAGCAGGGGACTACAGGTCAGGGAAGGGACCCTGCAGAACAGTGAGCAGCGCGGCCCTTCCCTCCCTCCCCGCTGGCACCTCGGTGCTCGTCCGGCAAGTTTGTTGGCATCCCGGAGCCTCACCTCCAGCTACCACGTGCCAGACCCTCTTCCCACGAGGCGCCACCAGCCTGTCCCTTGGGTGTCCAGGTAGCAACAAAGTGGAAAACACTTGGGAAATGGCTTCAAAACGAATTCCAGCTGCTGATCCTAGTGACAGGAGAAAAGACAAATGACGAGATTTTAAGAAAACTTCAGGTCTTTGCCGGAAGAGGTTTCTGGGTGAACTGGAGACACGGGTGATACCGAGTGCCTGGGGTGCGTGATGGGAACGGGTCTCCCCTCCACTCCAGCTGGAGATGAGGGCAGGCGCTTCCTTAGTGTGTCGCACCAGGCGAGCCACCCGCTGTGTGTGCTTTCAACACATGCCAGGAGAGGCTGTGACATAGACCTCTTCAGACATGAAGAGCCATCGATGTTGCTGGCCGTCATTCCTATGGATACATGTGTCTGCATCAGTCGCAGGGCTGGCTGGAAAACAGGGCCGCAGTGATGGTCCCCAGTGCAGGGTCCCTGGTGTTAGCCCAGCCCCACTGCCTTGCCCTCTCCTCCAGAGTCCTAGTCCTGCAGGAGGTTCTGAGGGTCCTCATCTCTGCAGCCAGGGGGTGGTGGCTGGGAGAGGTGTCCTAAGTGAAACTGATCCAGCACCACAGACTTCCTGTGCCTCCCGAGCGGTGGCCTGACTGTCCCTGGCTTTGCTTTGTTGACAGTGTTCCTTAGTACACAGTTTGGGAAGACCCCATTTTCACAGGCTCACGGGGACAGTTCTTCCACACCCTCTGCCCATCTCTGGGGTGCTGGTCTGGGCTGCGACTGTCCCACCAGCTGGGCAGGGCTCCACAGCATGAAATGTGCCTGCGAGACTCTTACCCCCGGATCTTCTCCTTCAGCCAGACTCTATGACCGTCCCTGTGACTGCCTGGCCTGCCCTTCCCTGGAGAGCCCAGCAGCATCGGCAGGGACACAGTGAGGTGGGCATCGGTGCACCCTGAGTGCTTACTGAGCATGCGCTGGGCTGGGGACCATCCAGCATGGAGTACAAACAAGCAAGACAGGGACTGCCATGGGGGTCTCATCATACCCAACACATGGGCAAACCCTATGTCACAGCTCAGTGACAGATGTCTCAGGGCCACTGGGAATGGGAGGAAGCTTGCCAGAAGGCCAGATGGGAGGGCGGAAGAAGCCATAGACACCTGTGCAGCCGGGAAGCTCTAGACAGCCTGAAGGTGGACGTGATCTGTCACGGTGTGTGGGGTGGGGCTCAGAGAACGTGTCTTTCCCTTGTGGACCTGACAGGCCAGAGGGCTCCCAGCTCACAGAGGAGGTAGCAGCAGCAGATGCCACTGTGAAGAGAACAGATAAAGCGTCCAGAGTCCTCACAAAAATTCGAGAGGACTTTGAGTGGGACCCTTCGGCTGTAGGGGCTGGATCTTGAAGAACACATAGAACACGGGAAGGTATGAGAGAACATTCCAGAAAGAGGGTTTGCAAAGGAGCCGTTCCATCCCTAGGTGTGGGGCAAGCTGTGTCATGGGTGGGAAGTGTCCCGAGAGCCAGGCCTGTGTGTGTCTGTGTGTGCACGAGAGTGTGTCACGGTGAGGGACAGTAGAGGCATCCTGGATGTGAGCGAGGGGCAATCATGACACACCTTTGGTTTAAATTTTCTTAATGTATTTGCAAAAAAGGTCTGCGGTAATAAACATAAAAAGGATTACAATGCAAAATGCACATAGGCTCCTTTTAGGATTAAAAAATCCAGACCCGGAGCCTGGCGACTGGGTGCAGAGGGCCCTCGGGGTGTGCGGGTCTTGCAGCTAGAGGGTGACGTGGGGAGAGCTCCGGCTGCCCTGACGCACTGGGCCGAGCTGAACCCCGAGAAGAGCCCGTTTCTTTTCACAGCAGTGCTCATAGTTGATAAATGAGGCGTGGTAGGCGGGAAAGAGAGAAGGTGGGTTGGTGCTGGGTCCGGGAAGGCCCCAAGTCCCAGCTGAAAGATCCCACTGACAAGGAAGTGTGGTGTGGCCGGAGAATGGGTTCTTCCCACCCCAGCGTCTCCAGGGCCACCTCCTCCCCCGAGACCGAGTGTACCTGGTGTCACAGGGCGTCTTCCTACACACGTCCCTTCTTCCCTTGGTTTACTGTTCAATGTTGGTTTGCGGGGCACTGAGCACTCGGAGTCTCTGCCCAGCCAGTTCCTGAACAGAGCCCAGCGAGAGCATGGAGCCATCTGTAACTTTTCCCGAGGTGCCCCTGCCACGCAGGGGACACTGCGCATCATACAGCAGGACACAGTGGCGTCGCTGGGTCAGAGAGGAAATCAGCAGTGAGCAGGAGCTGCCAGGCGCAGCTACAGTTTTCCAGATCTGTTCTTTTCCATTTGGAGGGCAGTGAGACAAAACACGGTATCGACAGAAAAACCAAGACACAGTCACTGTCTTCATAGCAGGAAGGAGACCCCCGGAAGGACCCCAGATGACAAGCTGGCACAAATACAGAGCAGAGCTTTTGTGGCTTGGGACATGCCGCAAGCTGCTGTTTTTGCTAGGAGGTGGAGGCTACCATCTGCAGCTGCATGGCGCTGTCTCCCTTCCTTCCCTTCTCTTTCTTTAGTATGTGCTGAGTGAGTTTACTGAGAAACCAGCCCACATCCTGGAGATCCTGAGGCCACCTCAAGTACTGCTGCTTCTGCACAAATCCTCGGATGGCCTGATGTCTCATCAGCTCGTACTGGGACAGCGACCCCACCACTACCACCACGAGCACGCTCTGGAGGTCAGACACACACCTGCCCTGAGCGTAGGCTAAGGCTTCCAGGCACCAGCCGTCAAGGAGGAAGTGCCTGCTCACCAGGCAGACGACCTTCCTGCTGCTCCAGATGGCAGCCTGGAGGTTGGCGACGTGGTCCTCCCCGGGGATGAAGTCTCGCTCTTCGAAGCACAGGTTAAGTCTGTTTTGGTCGCTGTACTGAGCATCCAGCTGTTTAAGCAAAGCGTTCTGAACCCATTCGAAGTCTTTGCTACTGAAGCAGAAATAGGCATCGTATTTGAACGTGTTGGGGTCTCTTCTCAGGGGTCGGTCGCCCAACACCAGGCTCTGCACTGTCTTGTAGCACAGGAAACAAAACCCCCGGAGCTTTGTGACCACGAGGATAGTTGTGAGGAACAGAGTCACGGTGACAGCAGACGTGACGAAGAGAGAAAGCTGCACAGACTTCAAGGCTTCCTCTTCATCACAGCCCTCCGTGGAGAGAGAATAGAGGGGCACATCTGAGAGCCAGGCGGGGTATGCACAGGACACATCCTCAGGAGACCCCTCAAGAGTGACACTGGTATGGTTGAGCCATCTGATAAATGTGGTCAGCTCGCACTCACAGATGAACTTGTTATGGGTTATGTCCAGGAAATGCAGTGATGCAAACAAGCTGGGATCTGGAGAGAGGAGCTGGTTTCCAGAGAGATCCAAGGACTCCAAGTTGGCTGGAAAACTGCCGGCAGGGAGAGATGTCAGCCTGTTGGAGCTGAGGCTGAGTCCTCTTAGTGAAGTCAGCTCACTAAGTACCCCAGGTGGGAGAAAATTAAGGTAGTTATCATTCAGAAACAGAACCTGGAGACGGGAAAGTCCCTTAAAAACATCCCAGCAGAGCCCAGTTTCCCAGGCCAGTTGCAGCATATTTTCTCCAAGGAGAAGTTTTTCTAAGCTGTGGCTCGCTGCAGGGCTAAGGCCTGGTGGACAGGAGGAAAGGCGATTTTGATTTAAGATGAGCGTGTGGAGATGAGGCACCTGGAGGAGGAAGTAGAGATCGGCCAGATTTTCTAGCCTGTTTGCTGATAACTGCATGAAGTCAACGCTGAGATTGATGTGTGGCAAAGTCCCCAGTTTGTTGCCACCTAGAAAGACAGTAAGTATGCTCGGAATAAAAGACATGGTCTTAAGAGCATTGTCCCGGAGATCCAAGGTCTCTAGGTTCCCCAGGAATCTGAAGGTTTGGGCCTGAACGATCCCAATGTGATTCCTCTGAAGGTCAATGTATGCTACACTGGGCAGCCCCCGGAAGTCGGAATTATACAGCTCCCCCAGGAGGTTAAATGACAGATTGAGGACCTGGAGGCCATCGAGCCCTTCAAAGGCCCCATTTAAGATCCTGTTTATCTTGTTGTGGGCAAGGTTCAGGACCTTCAAGTCCTTGAGCGTCTCAAAGAGCCGGGGGTTCAGGGAGAAGATGAACCCCTTCGAGAGATCCAGGCTCCTCACCGAGCTTCTGGCCAGGCCTGCAAGCGTGCTCCGGTCGGGATCCTTGATGTTACGGAAGCCAAACCCAGCCCCCATGATGTGGTACTGAAGGATCAAAGAGGAAACCTTGCTCCCCTCAATGGCGTTGCTGAAGTTTCCCATGATGGGCACGGTCCAGCCGTTCTCAGAAGCGTCGAGGGTCTCCAGCTGCAGGCTTCGGAGGGGGTTCCCACACTTCCCCCAGTCCACGCCCCTCATGTACACCTTCGTCATTCTGAGGCGGAGAAGAGACAGCGTCTTCCCTTGGAGTGGGCTGAGCTCACCCTCACATATGGTGGGGATTTGGTTGAAAGAAAAATCCACAGACTTTAAGGAATTTAGTCCTTGAAATGAAGGATGAAGGTAAAGGCTGCTAATCGTGTTTACAGACAGGTCCAAGTGGGTTAAGGAATTTAAATTTCTGAAATAACCATCTCTCAACACAGCATCCGAGAGACCACAGGAAAACAGTCTAAGTTCAAGCAGCTGGGGCAGACCCTGGAAAGCGTCCAGATGCAGGGCATGCATCTTGCTGTCACCCAGGTCCAAGATCCTGAGGGTGGGCAGGTTCCGGAAGGCCTCTGGCCCGATGGTCAGGGGTGTCAGCTGGCCCCCGAGCTCCAGCAGCTGGAGCTGCTCCAGGAAAGGGAAGGACGTGCTTGTGACCGTCCCGATGTAGTTGGAGCTCAGCAGGAGCCTCTTGGTGGTGTTGAGGACCTGGGGGACCTGGGTGAGGTTGCAGAAACGAAATAGAGCCACCTGGCCATCGGAGGAGCAGGCCGGGATCCCGAGCGCAGGGCTGGCCAGGAGCACCATGCCCACGAGGAGGTCAAGGGGACCTGCCATGGTCCTACGGAGAAGGAGTGGAGAAACAGCGGCTCAGCCCGAGGCACTGCACGGGGCCAGGACCTGGGGACCCTATGGTGTGCTGCTCCCTGGGCCCTTGCTCCTCTGTCCCAGGAGAGGGCCGTTGGCAGACGTTGCTGGTGTAGACCAGGCTGCTCATCACACATTTCTGTCACGCTCTTCATGCTGCATTTTCCACATGCTGGCCACCACGCCAGGGATCTACGAAACGTGGCCCGGGCTGGGGCTGGGGCTGGGCGCAGTTCAGCAGGGAGAGCGTCTGCCTAGCAGGCACAGGTCCTGTGTTCGATATCCCCAGCACCACAAAACAAAAAACAAAACCAGCAAAACTTATCTATTCTTTCTTCTTGTTTTGGTACCGGGGATTAAACTCGGGACCTTGCACTTGCAAGGCAGGCAGCAGAACCACTGAGCTAAGTCCCCAGCCCTAAAACTTGCCTGTTCGTTGCAGTAACTATGCTTGTTCATTCCTTCAAGATTTGCCGAGGGAAATGCACAATGCTGCAGGAGGGGACTGGGCCCCTTCCAGCCCCAAGGTCCCCCGAGGGGTGGGAAATGCTCCACTGCTTCCCCTCCCGTGCCCAGCCTCCAGCTCATCTCTGGGATCCCGGCTGGTCCGCACGCTGACCCCCTCGCCACCCAGACCACGCTGCTGTGTTGTGTCCACAGCGTCGTGGGCTGTACCAGGCACCGCGCACATGCTGACATCTGTGTGGTGTGCTCGTTGCGACCACAGCCCAGGGCACGCCCCGAGTCCGCGGCGGAGGTTGCCCTCTGTCTGGGGTGAGTGGTTGGCTAGCGTGAGCAGCAGCAGAGCGAGGTGCTAAGTTTAGCACAGGTGTCCTAAGGACTGTGCTGGGTCCTGTGAGGAGAACAGAGGGAGGTCGCAGGGACCTCACCCTCGCGTCTGTCACCCACATCCTGTCCCCACTGAGGAGCAGGGAGAGAGCCGGGGTCCCATCAATTTACCACCTTCTGCCCAAACCCCCTTGGTATTCTTGCCCATCTGCGTATGTACTCACTGTCTGCTCCCATTAGACACAGGTATAGCCAGCGTTTTAACGGACGCTAGTGCGGGGGCTCGTGGCGGGGGCAGCGGCCTGGGGAGCTCTCTGTGGATCTGCAGCAGCCGTCCAGGCCCTTTCGGTCCTCACAGGGAGGGGCGGGAGTACCCCCAGGGGCCAGGCCTGGAAGCACAGCAGCCTTGTGCCTCCCAGGACCAGGCAGCGCCGCAGGGTGGTAGGACGTCTGCCAGCACCCCGAAGGCTGAACACCTAGTCCAAAGCGCCACATGCTCCGATGCGTACTGCGTTTCCAGGAATGCAGCTGCCTGTTACTCTGGGGAAGGCTGAACCTTGGAACTCTACACAGTATGACTGTGCGTGTCAGAAGATCTCTTCTCCACGCCAGGCCCGCTGGGAACCAGGAACAGGAGGATGACTGTTTCTATGCTGCCCTACCGGCGACTGCTTACATATAAGCAAATTCATGCGGTCTTCCTTTCAGAATGTCAAGTGTAATTTAAAAAGCGTCAGTTGAATATTATCTTATTTCACTTAAATCTAAACTTTTTTTCGAACAAGTCGGCGTGAATGTCCACCTGCCTCATTTTGTCTTCTACTGTCGCTGTACCAGGCATTCACAAGGAAGTGCACATCAACTCACCATAAATTCTTCCCTTTTTATGTCCCAGTTGGGGCATTATATTGATTCAAGATTGTATGGAAGGCAGATGATGCTCTGCTTATGGGTTTCACAGCAGTGCGGGGAGGGGCTGCACCTGACACCTGTGGTCCAGGGTTCAGATGTCCGGTTCTTTCTGCTGGGTTCTCACAGGCCCCTGAGATGAAAGCCAGGATCTCTCTGGGTGCTGTTTACTCTCTCCACATGCGCAGCCTGTGACTGTCTCATTTGTGGTGACCACATTGCATCGATGATAAGATCAAATATAAATCATGATTGACAAAGCAGGGCTAAAAAGGGACTCGAGTGGGCGGAGAGAGACAGATGCTTGGAGGGAGGGATCCGAGGCCCCGGCTGCAGTAGCCCCTCAGGTCAAGCCAAGGTGTGTGGGGGTCCCCGGCTGCGATCCCGGAAGCTGTGGATGCAGGCTCGAGGCATGAAGCAGGGTCCCTATTCAGTGCACCCAGGCGAGGTTGTGCGGCAGAGGAAACCAGGTCAGGGGAGTCAGGCCTGAGAGCCAAGGAGGAGAGCGATGCCCAGGGAAGGACCACAGTCCTCGTGCTTTGTGTAGCGCTCCCACCCTGCAGGGTGAAGTGCATTCCAGCACGACCTTCAAGGCCGGACAAGATCAGCCTCCCACGGCTGAGGGTGCTGCTGTGAGTTATGCACTCAGCCCGCATGGGAAACACGGCGGGAAGGGACTCTCGGGTTTTGAAGTCACAGACCCCCTTGGAGGGCGTGGGGTTGTCTTCCAAAGCTGCACATTCGCATCCCAAACCAAATGCTGCACCTGGGGTTGGAGGCTCCGACCTGCTGAGGCCCCCGTTTCAGCATCACGGTGAGAATCTTTAACTTATACAGAATGACCCGGCACTTTGAGTTCCAGAGCAGGGGCTGGCAAACTCCACTGTGAGGAGCATGGTAAATATTTTAGGCTTTTCAGTCTAAACACAGGCTGCAGTTTGCTGACTGCTGTTCTAGAGGAAAAGAGAACAGAAACTTGGACTTCACAAATGAGGATTTTCAGCGGCCGAAAGGTGAACATGTTCTGATGCTGAACCACTATCTGCAGGAAAGCACTAACTCCCCAAGTTGCTGACAGTTTTGCAGCCCCTGTTTTATCCAAACCTCAGGACGAGTCCTCATCTTAGGCAACCACACAGCGAAAGCCAACAGACCGCTGTGAGAATGCCAGCTCAGAGCAGAGTTAGCGTTTTCAGTTTCAGTTCTGTCTTTGGATGACTCAGCACTGGCTTCTAAGTGTGCCCATAGAACCAGGCAGCCTGACCCTGACTTTGGGGTGATGATGAGTGAAAGACAGCCCCTAACAACACATAAGCAGGACAGCAGAAATTCAAGTTCCTAATAGGGAAGCCAAAGGTGAAGTACGGTGGATGAAGCCAGCGGAATACGCAGACGAGACATAAAGAAAACTGTTCGGGCTTGTGTTGTATCATGGACACCACGCAGACCTGTGTGCTCGTGAAGTACCGAAGGGCTTGAAGTGAGTCATTTTTACCTCGGAAGCGGATTTCAGGGTGGAGGGCAGGGGCCAGGCCAGCTGTGCGTGGGGGTCTCGGAGAGGCAGCGCTGCGGTCAGAGGTGTAGGGAGGTGCGCCCCGGTGCCCCCTGCACTGAGGTAAGTGCTTTGTGACCCAGGGACTCTTCCTGTCTGAAGAGGACACGAGCCAGGTGGGCTGCTGCACACCGAGCCCAGCCTCAGGAAGACAGAGCTCGAGACCCGAGTCCACATGGCACGGGGCAGCAGGCAAGGCCTGGGCGACATGGACACAGGGACCCAGCAGAGCAGACGGAGTGGCCCGAGGCCACTGCACACACGTGCAGGGAGTGGGTCGTGCTGTGGCCACCTGCTCCTCCCCTGGCCACTGTGGCAGGCGCCACCCCATCAGAGAGCTCTATGTCCGGTGGCTGCCAGGAGAGGACAGAAGGGGACAAGATCTAAATCCTCCATGGGCAGCATCTCCCTCAGCATCCTTACAAGGCTGATACAAAGCAGGATGGCTTCTGTGGCTGGTTCCACCAGGAGATACGCGCTCCTGCTTGAAAACCACGGCACTATATAACCACATGCTAAAACCACAGGGTTTTGGTGAAAATGAGTAAAACATTCAAAACCCACCACTGATAGATCCCTGGCCCCACAAAACAAAACAGAAAACCACACAAAGCCCTTGGCCAGTGGGGCCAGGGGCCACACTCAGTGACAGCACGTGCTTAGCATGGGAGGGGCCCAGGGTCCCATCCTAGCCACCAAACAAAAACAAAAAACAGCAAAATCCCAACATCAGCAGCACAGGAAAAGGCGGGAACCGAATGAGAATAATAGCAGAGTGTCAGCCATGTTCAATGATTAAGAAATACACAAACACTGCCAGGGATTTAGCTCAGTGGTTCCACCACATTCCTCGCAAGCTCAAGGTCCGAGTTCGATCCCTGGTACCAAAAAAATAAAAGAAAAGAAATAAATACTGTAGTAGATGTGGCTCCTGGCTTGTGAAGATGGAAGTCCGATTGCAAGTGGAGGTGGGTGCGGGGCTTGGGCCAAGGAGGATGTGGTTAGTAAATGAAATGCTTGGCAGGGGAATGACAGACAGGAAAGATGCCCCATGGGCACCTCAGGAAGGGACAGGGCCACGCCCACCGCTCTGAGCCCCTGAAAGTCTGTTCCAAGAGTCTTTTGAGACAGACCCCGGGTGCCTTGCTTGCCCAGAGCACCTCAGCCTTCCTGGGCCCTGGTTCGCAGGCTGCTGCAGCACGTCTTCCTGGTGTGCTGGGTATGCGAGCAGGTTATGGGCTCCGGGGGGCTTCTCCCAAGATCCAAAGAAAGCCTGTGTCTTGGGGTGGGAGCCCCGAGAGCACTCTAGACAGGGTGATACATGGATCCCGGAGTGTGATGTATCAGTAATCCTCCCTAGGGCTGGGGATTTAGCTCAGTGGTTTCGCCGCCTGCTGCGCAAGCACAAGGGACCCGAGTTTGATCCCCGGTACCAAAAAAAAATTAATAATAATCCTCCCTAATATGTCAATGTTCCCTAATATCACTGGTATTGGAAACAAATTCAAATTTCAAAACAAATATTATGGCAGGATTAGGATCCAGGGGAGTATCTGTGTGGTCTAGGGGTGTCCTCGAGATGGGTGACTGGGATGTTTACCCTTTGAGTTATGCTTAAGTTACCTGAGTCTGTCAGGTTACCCATTAGTGGGCTAAAGAAAAACCAGACCCCATGACCTCAGTTAAGATCAATGTACTGAGTGCATGTTAGAAGCATGTACGTGAAGTTCAGAGGCAACGTGCCCCATAAATGGTGCTGTTTCCCCAAGGGTGGCAGCCCGTGGAATTGTGAATTTATAGGACTGGAAGAAAAACACAGATCCGGTTTACGGATAACATGATCTTAAGACTCTTAGGAACTTAGGAGGGCGGAGCTGGAAGAAAGAAACAGGACTCGGTGAGAGGACTGGAACCTTGGATAACTTTGACCTTGTCTGGAAGCTGCAGTTTTCTCAAACATTACAATTATTTCCTCGTCCTTTCTACCTGTATTTTTTCCTCCCACCTCAGGACCAATGTGGCCTCACTGTGCTCAATACCACCATGTCCCTTAGCAATCCAACCCGAGCCCCAGAGCTGCACCTCGGCCGGGGTTCTCGTTTTGCCAGGACTGAACAGGGTCAGCAGGTCTGAGCGGGCTGCATACTA